AACAACTAATTATTCTGGATTAAATTTTCTTTTGGCCACGTGTCCACTTCACAAGAAGGGTAAATTCTTGTCTGAACTGAGACCAAAGTCACTCGACTCTTCATTTGCATCGCCCCATTTCTCTGCAAACCCTAAATCGAGCCCCTTTTCTTCATCATCAATCTCCATTTCACCTCCATTCAGCAATCCATCGTTCTCATTCATGACAAAAAACTTTATTCTTTATTCTTTAATGATCAAATTTTTCAATTTTCAAAAGAGAGGTATATCATTGAAAAGTTCACAAGATGAGCTTTTCTATTGAGTTTAATCATATGAGAATCGAACACCCGAGTTTCGATCAACGGTCAAATAAATTAAACATCTAGCCTTTTAGGTTATTAATTAAATTTCCATTGTTAGTGTTTATATGATCTCCTTCATTAGAAAGTCATACAAGCTTTCAAATGACACATTTCGACCAAAAATCAAATATTTTGATGATTGGAAACCTAAAAAATAGAGTTTTTTTTTATGCTTAAATGTAGCCAACCTTCTTTGTTTCGTTCATGGGGGAATAAAAATCTTATTTGAAATCAATAAATTATATGTTATTTTGTTTTATCTTAATGTGGATTTCAAAAGATCCAAATCATATTAAAAAAAAATAATAATAACCATCGTTAATTGATTACATAAATATTGTTTAAATTTTTAAATACTTTTTTTAATATATTATTCTTTATATTTAAAATGATACACGTCACTTATACGACTTACTATCTTATATTATAATCATTTTTTTATTTATATTATATAACTACTTTGTAGTTAAATTAATTTAAATAATTTTATTGTTTTAATAGGTGATTTAATTTTTATTATAAAGATAAATATAATTCTTTATTTATTTTGCATCTATAATACATATATCAAATCAAGCTCATAAAGGCATGGTTAATCTGATATATTATATATGAAAAACTGATCATAAATAAAATATTCATTAAGTTTTAAATATAATTGTAATTTAAGTTATTAAATTTTTATAATTGTAAAAGAAAGATGAGGAAAAAATAAAGATTGGAGAAAAATTATCTTATAAACCACGTCAATTAAAATCTATTCAAGTGAAATGACAAAGCATAAAATTTGTCACATAAGATCCTGAAGCATGCGAGTCCACTGCTTAGACTCACTACGTTCGGGAATTATATATAAGGAATGAGTTGTTATTCCTTCCATTTCCTTACATTTAATTACATATTAATTATATTTATTCTTGCAAAAATCAAAATTAATTAAAAGAGTTACCATAACACAAAATTTATTATTAACACATGCACTTCACATGTGTTTTGAAAAAATGTACAAGGATTGGAAATGTCACATTTCCAAATAACGTAACCTTAGATCAACTCCAACTCAGCGCCAGATTTGTATATTTACGATAGAGTGGAGAAAATCCCTCCTCCGACCATGCGCCAGATTATTATACTGGAATGAATAGTGTTCTGTTGCTTCTCCCACTAACACTATAGCTTAGCTATTTTTTTTTATGTATTTTAATGTAATATTATTGGAGAATTTTTGTATTATGTGTTTTATTAAATGTGTTTGTTATGTTAAATAACTTTGTGTTTCTTATTTATTGATGTATTATATTTTTTTTAATGTCATAGTACCATATGAATAAAAATTCACCACAATAAAACAAGTAGATTATATTAATATAAAAAATTTACAACACACATAAATCAACAAAATAATAAATAAAAACAACATAATTAAAATTCGGATGACTTAAAAATCTAAAAAACACATGAATAATAAAATTTTTATTCTAGTAGTCTCCCAAACCACTTCCATACCTACCAAAATCTTGAAAAAAAACTCACTGAAAGAACCAAAAAGTGTTCTTGATTTGTGATGTCTACGATGATTGTCTTTTTTTAAAGAAAAAAAAAATCATTCTTGCTCATTTTTAAAATATTCACGATGACGGTTATCTTGTATTGAATCCAAATTCATCATTAAAATCTTATTTTCCTCTATCCATATGGTGCTCTCAACAAATTTGTTTCCTAATTTATTTTTTTTGCTTTTAGATTTCAATTTTTTTGTCTTATCGTCTCACTGTCATGATCCATCTTCATTGTTGAGCTCATTACTATCTCTCTAAGTATTTCATTTTCCTTTTTCATTGTTTATGTAACTGCAGAACGTCTTCTCTCTGTTTTCTCTTAAATTTGATTTTTAATACATAATGGACATTGTGATGACGAACCACCTCTAGCATTTACATTGCCTAAAGTAGTGAAATAATTACTTAATTCTGGATTAAGTTAAATGGAAGACTCGGGCTGTGCATCTGACTTCGGTTGAGATGAAAATGTTTTTTTCCTGGTCAGTGACGCATCCAGAAATTTTACTAAAGGGGGGCCCGATTTTAAATGTTAAATAACGAACTTGTAGTTTAAGTCGAAACACTCAGTTCATATGTACTATAAATATGAACATTGATACATATACCATCAAGTTTTCTAAAACTTAGAATCAATATAACTCTCAAGCTTTTTAAAAAAATAAACAAAAAAAAAAATTCATTTATTTATAATTTAAGTTCAACATTTATAATTTATGAAAAAATAAATGTTTTGTTGGAAAATTTGATTTACATTAAATTTTTACACAACATTCCATAGCATTTTAGCATTTTGATTGTTCAAAGCTTATCAAATGAACATTTTTTTAAGAAAAAATATATAAAGTTAAAAATATGTGATTAAAAAAAGAGTAAAAAATCAACATTAAAAAATGTACCAATCCAACTAATAAATACTCGGTTTTATAAATCACTACATCGATTTACAATTAATAAACCGAAATAGTAAATCATTATAAAAATTTTCAAAAGCTTATCCAAAAATATGAAATATAAGGATTGTTAGTATATTTTTTAATAAATAAATAATATTATTATTTAAATAAAAATAGCAAAGGAAATAAGTTTTAATTAGTAATATATTGTAAATATTTTTTACATTTCTATACATATTTTATAGTATTTTTTTTTTATAAACTTATTGATTTTCAATAAGTTTTAATTATTAATATATTGTAAATATCTTTTGTATTTTATACATATTTTATGGTATATAAATAAATATATATATATATATATATTGATTTTTTTTAAAAGAAAAGGAGGGGTACTTAATTTACGGTTATACCGGTTTTTACGGAGTCATACCGTAAACCCCGAAAAATACCTGTCAATAAAAAAAATTATTAATTTAAAAACATAAAATTTAAATTGGTATTAGCATATTTTATATTTATTTCATTGAGAAGTTGTAATTAATGATTATGGTCATTTATTTTTTTTACTTTTTTGTATTTGGTATTATATAATTTTATGTATATTTATATATATCAATATATTTGCTAGTCCGGTAGGTGGTATTACCGGTCCGACCGGTAATACCGCGTACCAATGGCTAGACCGGTATGACCATCGGTACGGTATTTAAAACACTGTAATCAACCACACATGCTCGTACTTATGGTCAATTACTTTTATTTTTTGAGTTTTGCATGTATAGTATATTCGCACGCTCCATCAACATTGTGAATATAAATAGCATTAGAAAATATTAATATATATATATATATATATATATATATAATTAAACAATGCGTGTAAAAATTCTTACAGCATCATGTTCAGAAGCTCCATTGATGTTTGCATTTTCGATTTGCTCCACACATGATTTGAAAAGTTTAATAGCAGTATTGATATTTTTCATGCGAAATTGGATTGATTTTTGTGAAAGATCTTGCCCCACTGGATTGGGTTTTGTAGAATTGTACTCGTACATTACGAAGAGCCAAAATTGATCCATAAACATATTTTTATTATTTAGGTAACAACAAATTATATAAGATTAAATATACATATATATTACAATTTATTTGAAATAAAAAAAAATAAAAAATAATATATTTAATGTAGAGTAAAATGTAGTGTGAATGATTGGAGATAAAACATGAATTTTAACTTACTCTACTCTAAAAGAAACATGAATTTTGGCTTACTCTACTCTAAAGTAGAGTAACGAGCTGGAGTTGTTCTTAGGTGATGAACATTGTGTATCAATAGATTCGAATTTTTTAAAACCTGCATTGATGGCCGTAGACATGGCCAAAGGGCCGCCCGGCACTGAACTGGCCCGGACCCGGCCCGGTCAAACCCATTTACCATGGATCCTAAACCGGCCCGAATTTCAGACGGGCCATGTAAGGGTCCTGTTTTTTCGCCACAGACCCGGTGGGCTGGGCCGGGTCCGGGGCGGCACGGGAAAATACAAAAGATTTGAAATTTTCTTTTTTTTTTTAAAGATAACGGGCCAGACCCGGGTTGGGCCCGACCCAGCCCGTCGGCCCACCGGGCCGGGTCGAGCCCGAGCCTGGCCCGGATTTTGGCCATATCTAGATGGCCGTCGATTAACACGAGTTTTTTGTATCGTGAATGAGATTTGTGATAACCAGTATTGATGGCCGTTGGTTATGCACGATGGATTTGTGCGCGAACACGGGCGTTTTTATGTTTTTTATTGCTTAAGTCTTCCAATAGCTGAATACATGAGTTTTAAAGAAAAAAAAAAAAAATACTAGAATTGTAATTAAGGCCCTACGGAATCACAAAATACTATACAAAACTAGTAAATAGAAAAATTACATATAGGTCCCAGAGTCTCGTCGGTCGGCCAACGACAACCTTTGCAGCCTTTGCGCGCCTCTATTGGGTCGCGTTGCTCGCGCAGCGAGCTATTTCAGCAGGTGCGCGGTGGCCCCGTTGTGCAGTGCACCTGTCCGTGCGGGCTACTCGGCATCCAGTTCGCATCATTAGGTACCAACACACAACTCCATTATTCTTTATTCCTTACACAAAATATCAAACATGAAAACCGCCATTTGTTAGATTATTATTATTCTCCTCATATATTTACATAATTACATCAAAATGAAATTGGGTCATCGAAAAACTGGTCAACATCCCAGTCAAAATCACCACCCAAATCAACCGACCTAAATTCAGCCCCCAAATTCAAATCATAAGCCCCATCACCCAAATCTTCCTCTTTCCACCTCATCTCGTCGAGTATCAACGGCGATGGCACTCTCAGATTGAAATAGCCACTCAACGAGCACTCATCCCTGAGAAAATCAACGTCATCTCTCTCCTCCTTCACCGGAATCGGCTCCGACTCCGGCTCGGTAATTGAACAATAGTTGTCCACGTCGTAGTCCTCCAAATTGTGTTTGAATTCGGACCGGACGACCGTACTCCGCTCTGCCCCAAACCTCAAAACAGAGGTTGGAGACGGCCGGTCGGAAAATTCGTTCCCGTCGTCGCAGGACACCGCCGCCGCCGCCCTCTCCGGCGGCTTTATGATGTTGGTGAAGGCGTTTGGCCCCCGCATCTCGATGGCCGCCTCATCATAGGCCAGGGCTGCCGCCTCCGCCGTCTCGTAGGTGCCCAGCCAGACCCGGGTCCTTCGGGCCGGGTCGCGGATCTCGGCCGCCCACTTTCCCCATGGCCGCCGCCGCACGCCGCGGTACCTCCTCTCCTCTGCCGGCGGCTCCACCGCGGCCGGTTGACCCCTCTTCTTGGCCTTCTCGGAGAAGCTCGCCCTGACCAGCCGGACCTCGCTGACGTGGGTCCTGACCCGGCGGCAGGCGCCGCCCTCGTCGTCAGAGGAGTCGGTGGCGTCGCCGTCGGTGACGGAGATCCTCACCAGGCGCGGCGTTTGGTTCTCCGACCTCGGCGGGAAGACCTTGGTGGTGACGGATTTGTGGACGGAGTATTTGATGGGGTGTGGAAATTGTGGGTCCATTTTTCACTATTGTGAAGTTATTAAACAGAGCATGTGAAAAAAATGGAGTCTTTATATAACTAAAAATGAAAACGATAATGATGTGAAGAACCCTTATTTATAGGACTGTGAGATCCCCTAATTATTGGGATTCAAATTTTTTTTTTTTTCAAATTTTGACCATTTGTTTAATTCATTTGGCGGTAATTGCAATTATAGTAAATCTCTAAAAAAAATTATAAATTTATTTATTAATAGTCAAATTGCGGGTGTATGAAATAATAATTTAAATTCATTACCATTTTGATAAAAGCAACTTCCATAGGGGTTGTGGGGTTGCAAAGTTTTTTTTGAATTACATTAATAATTTCATATGATGTTATTAAAATTGTTTTTTGTGATTCGGACAAATTTGTTCATTATTTATTTACTATGCCAAGTGAAATTATCAATGAATAAAAATCAAAGATTTGTGTGTATTTATTTAATTGACTTTGTTTATGTAAGTACAATAGTAAATGCAGAAACTCGATAAGTTAAAAGATTGATTTGACTTGTGTTGCTTGTCAAACAAGTTTCAAGCGGATGAGTTCTCGCCTAGATCAACTTGAAAGTACTTGTCAGTCAAGTTTCCACATGATTATTGGTTTTATCCTCATATTATTACATAAATACTACTTCGGTAGATTTACTTACCTAAATAGACTTTTCACTTTATTTTGTTTTTTTTTTCTATATTTAACAGCGATATATATTTTGTAGATTCTAATGTTTAATTTCTGCTTCTGAAACATGAAAAATATACGCAGTATCATAAAAAAAAAATTAAATTACATATATATATATATATTGGTTTCATTGTGTATATTTTGTTTGAAAGGTCATGTGTTAGGCTGAATCAACTCACTTATACATATTTTATTTAATATTATAGTTAAAAAAGAATATAAATAAATATATCATAATTAATAGTATAATTATTTATTTTTATTCAGGAGTACGATGACGTACAGTTAATTAGCTCGATTCAACAAAATGGTGTATTCAATCTCGTATAAATTAACTAAAAGACAAATATAAATTCATGCTGTCACATAAATACTGATGTACGAAAAGACATGCAGCAGAAGTTGTACGTTACGCATGATATGTGCTTTTTGGAAGAAACTTGGGCATCAAGGCACTTGACTAGATTCCAGCTTGACGTACTGATCCACATAAAAACGCCTCGTGTGAATAAAAAATGTCTTGTATTTTTTCATTTGATTTACACAAACATTGAACATTTGAGATATTAATTTTCAGCACACGTGTCACCAGTCACCACCTAACAAATCCTGATTTGCTTTCTGAGCAACTGTGAAAGTAAAGCAAATAAGACAGATTCAAAATTGACCTTTGGTCCGCTAAACTGTGAAAATGTGTTCATAGTCCATTAATTTATGTGATGTGAGTTTGAAACTTTTATTCATAGATTTCTTTCAATTCCTAAATATTTTTTAAGATTTTAAAAATCTTAGTATATTAAATTAGAACTTAAGATTTGTTTTAAGATTCTTAAAAGTCTTGATATTAATTTAAAATTTTAAAAAGTATTACAAAATTCTACTGACATATCCCCCTTATATATTAATTCAGAACGCGCTGAGCCTATGTGGTAGGCTCGCATGCTTCGGGATCCTATGTGGCAAAATTACATGCTTCGTTATTAGGTTCGGAATATCTATAAATATGTTGATTATTTATTATAGGGGTGGGCGCTGTCCGGTACGGTCCTGGATTTGACTTGTCCGGATATCGATCTCACTTTTATGAATCGGTTTATGAATGGTTCGGGATGAGGCACTGTCCTCACCCATGTAATACATGGGCGTTGTATTAGTTTAACTTAATTGAAATTGAGATTTGTTAGGAATTCTTAAGAGGATGCTATGAATTTTGATCAATCATATTTTTAACTCTAAATCTAACTCAAATATAACTTAGTTCAACAATCTTCAATATTATCAGTATAATTAAATAAAACTCTTAATCATCATTCTCACACATCACATTAATCTTAATTCTCTATTTATCAACTCACAAAATTTAACTGCTCATTACTTTCAATCATTTCTCTCATAATTTATATCTAATCAATTATAATATTTTAATATAAATTCAAAACCTCACTCAAACTTAACTCAACCATCTTTTTTAAAATTAACTCTGGTAACCAAAAATTTCAATCAAAACTCTATCTAAGTAACCCCTAAGAATTGCTGAGATTTCAATAAAAAAAAAAATTTATATGCGAAATCTCTATTAAAATTTCAAACAAATACACCTTCTTAGTTTAATTTCGGTACAAATAACCAAGTATTGAACAATATTTTTAAATCACCACAGATGTACGAAAGAACAATAGTAATTGGCGCGCGAATAATGTTGTATTCTGTAGATCAGGTTGATGTTAAATTGATCGCACACAATTATTATGATGTTTTCAAAATTATTTAGATTAGACATAAATAACTTTTTTTAAACTTGGTAAGTGTACATTAATTTAATTTTTCTATTTTTTTCTCTTAGTATAAATTTTCTTCTTAGTTTGGTCAAGTAGCAATGGTACCATCTTATAATTTTCTCTCATATTTCTCTCCTAAATTACAATTTACAAATCTATTCCTCTCTTTTTTTCATCAATTAGTCCATCAAAATTTTTTATTTTTGCAATATTTTTTATCATATATTTTTTTAACTCAACACCCGTGTAGTATACGGGTATTGTACTAGTTTTATATGGTATACAATAAACTATTATAAGATAAATCATATCACATGCTAACTCCACATCTTTAATTTTTAATTATTATTTAATATTACTTGTCCACTATTTTTAATTTATAATTATTAGGTAATATGGTTTAACTCCATCTTTAATTTATAATTATTATTTTATATTATTTACTCGTACATCGCACGGGCTACGTAAAAAGAAAATTAAAATGATAATTATATATATATATATATATGTATCATCCTACAATCCTAATGATAATTTACTAACCATGGTAGGCCATGCTCTCTTTTACCGCTATATATTCACTTTTTTATACATTATACTTTTTAGACAAAAAGAACAGACGATTTAAATGGTGATTATTCTTAGCCCAACCCTACGACGGAGTCGAGAAATTCTGATAAGGACAATTATAAAAAAATTGGTCGCGGAGGAACACGTCTTAGACCGTCTCCAACGCTCCCCGTGCCACCGTGGGCTCCCCCGACACCGTCGTCCCCGAGCTCGCCGCCCTCCGATCAGGCTCCCCCATTGGCGTCATCCGCCTCTCCGACGACCTCCTCCGCCACATCCTCTCCCTCCCCACCCCCGCCCCTTCCACGCCCTCATATTCTTCGACTCGAAGCACCTCCACGCCAAATCCGAGCTCTCCCTCCCCGCCCTAAAATTCGAATTCTCTTTCCTCTCCTCCACCTCCCGATCCGACAACCCCTCCGGTGACGGCGCCAACCCAGAAATCTTCTTCTTCAACCTCGAATTCCAGGAATCTCTGTCTTCTTTCGCCGTCTTCGGCGTCATCACCCTCCCACATATCTGCCTTCTCCCTCCCGACGCCGTCGGCCCCAAAAACGACTCGATCCAGATGGAAGCCTCCGTCTACTCCGGCCACGTCGAATCCATGCCTCCGTCTACAATCGGTTTTTCTGTAGAGAGAAGGTGGGGTGGTTTTGCAGAGAGAGGGCAGTGGGTAGTTTTGCGAGATTTGATAGTAGAGAGATGTTATTTTCCGAGATGTGTGTGAGATAATATCTTACCAATTAATAAGGAGTAGTTATTTGGAAGGGGATATGTTTTTCCTTAATTACGTTAGATCTCATCAGAAAAATTCTCTCGTATAGTTGCAATTAAAAAGTGATGATTATGTTAATATGTTAATATTTACAAGGTCTTTATATTTATGCAATTAAAAAGTAAACTGTTAGTACATGGTGCAATTTTCTCTATATTTTCGGCCCAATTTGCAATAAAATCGGCCCATCTAGTTGTCTTTTTCAGCCCAATTGCACCAGCCACCTTCCTCAAATTTTAGCGAGAAGCAGAACCTTACTTCTTCAATCGAGTCTCGCCCTGATCTCAGAAAAGCAGAACACAATCGCTCTCTCCTTAATCATCTATTCTCCTAATCCCAGCCCTTACCGTGAGACAAACAGCAGCCGTGCGAGAGGAATTCGAGTTGCACGCCATCGCCTGAGGTCGGAATAGTTGCGGTCGGACGAGAAGCATCCCGTCACATCCTCCTCAGCCGCGCGACTAAAAATTTACGACGGAGCAGCAAATTACGGTCAGACCCATGCCGGTCGCCCACTTCACAGTAGCCGTTCACCATGGCTATCAGCCGCTGGCCGCGAAACTCGAACAGTAGCCCTTCGCCGGCATTTTTTTTTCCTTCAGCCGGTCACGAGCCGGCGATCTTCGAGAGTAGCAGCACCCCCCACGTCGATAAGAGCACGGGCAGCCGTACGTGTAAGTTTTTCTGGAGAAAGCCGAGGCGGACTTCCCGTTTGAGGCCTCGTTTTCCGATATTTCGGGCCCCGTGTGAGAAGAGCAGCAAACAGCCCGGGAATCGTGAGCCGGGAATATCCACGAGTTGGCTGAAAGCTTAATACATGAGTGTAGCCGAGAACCGAGGCCGTTCATTTTCTGAGTTGGAGCATCCGAGGCTTCGTTATTCGATTCTTTCAGTTTTTCGTCTATTCGAGAGAAGGTATAAGGCTTTATCTCCTCCGTTAATATTATTTAGATTTTATGTTGAATGATTAAATAAGTTTAAGGTTCACGTGATCTAGAAGTTGATTTATGAGAATAATTGAATTTGAGTAGAAAACATGTTATTGGTATGTGTTGTGATGAATTGAACTCTCGATTTGGATGTTAATTGGCTCTGAAAATTCATGTTTTTGTAGTATAATATAGCCGGGAGAATTGCCGTGAGTTGTTTTAACAAAAAAAGGTTGCGTTTAATCGCCATTGATTTGAGTCTTGTTATTTTCGAAAGTGATGTCGTACTGCTGCCATTTTTCTTTGAGGTTTAATCTCTCATTTGCATGCTTTAAATACCTGGGCAAATGGAGGTCTGAATACCTTGAGTGGTGATTAGTTGTTGTTCAAATTAGTTGGATAAATTGCCTTTTAAGTGCGATTGACAAATCAAGCTCTCTCTCCAAAGGTTTGAGCCATTTCTTTAATTCCGTAAATTGTGTTCTTAAGGGCCGAATAATTGCTGGGTTTTAATGAGGTTTTAACCCATGTTAGAATGTGTTTTAGACTTGGTAAAAATGAGTTTTATGTGCCTTATAGACTCGAGAAATTTTGGTATTCCAATGCCTTAAAATTATTTTGGAAAAAAAAAAAAGAGTTTTTATAAAAGTCATTCTAGCCGAAAATTAATTTTAGACTGGTTTGAGTGATTGTGGATAAGCAAGGGAGTTGTTGAAAACGGATGTCGCTATGCCAGATGACAACAGTTGTAGTCGCAGTCTGTCAGTGTCCGCGTAAGACTCGTAGGCGACTCGCGTACTAGTGTGTGAGGCGCCGCATACTAGGAACATTGAGAACCACGAGACCCTGTGCTAGTGACCTGAGCCGCGTCTCAGCTGTCTGTTTCCAAGCGGGGGCGCTCCGCAGCACTAGACTGTCTACAATTTACCAAAGGCCAGCAAGCCATGTCCAGCAGACCCTAATGGTAAAGTGCATGCTTTCAATACCAGAATGCATTGAGAAGTCATTAGCCAGTAGCAGTCCCCTTGTAGGCATCGGGCCAAACGAAAACACCGGATCGCGATCGGTGTCATCTGTTGTCGAGCCTTTGAGCACTTAGCCGCACCAGACAAAAAAAAAAAATGAGCCGCGCTGAACCATTTCAAAATGAGTAGAAAATGTTTTAAATGTCCCGAGCTATTATTTTAAAAGTTATTCGAGCTTAATTTTAGAGATTTTGAGAAGAGTCCGAGTCGAGAGTTCCAACATCTAAGATAGAGAAAGAATTAAGTCGTGAACCTTAAGCTAGAAAATCTTTCAATATGGTAAATTAGTTTACTAAGATAAGAATATTCGAGTATGCTTCCTTAATCTAGATCCCGAGGAGTCGAGCCCTCGAGTTTTCTACCGAAACACTCACTCGTCTTTCAGCAGATTCCAGAAGTCAGGTGGGGAAGTCTATCTAATACATCATTTTGATTAAATACTGTGATACTTTTGTTTGTCGTTATTTGCATGAATTATGTGTTTCCAGTTTTCAGTTTTCAGTTATATATCGTGATGGTTGATCACGTACGGTATGAACAACTATTTTTGTAGTTATTCCAAGATCAGATATGTCGCATGCTAGCTAGTACCCTGAGGGGCAGTGCTTCGAGGGGCTAAGTAGACAACAGACAGACAGACAGACAGTACAGACCATAAAAGAATAGAAATGAGATTAGATGCACCGACTGGACGATTGCCAGAACTTTATGTGCACCTTAGTCGGGTGTGAAACCATTATTTATGTATTATATCTGCTTACAACGGTATCTTTTGTTTAATTCAAATGTCCGTACTATATAGACTCTAGGTGAGCACGTTGATTATTCTTATGCTCATCCACCCCCCTCCCCCCCAACCTTTTTCAGGTTAAGCAGCTGGCTAAGCAACTGGATAAGCGGCACAGGAGGCAGGGCGGCGTGGTCTTCAGTCATATTATTTAGTTATTCATCAGCTATTATATTCAGTTATTTATTTCAGACATTGGCGATTTCAATTTCATTATTATATTTCCACGTTGAGACATTGGATATTATGATTTGCATGTTGAGTTTGAGGGTTATGAAATTGATCATGTTGAGATTTATTTTCGATCTTGAGTTATTTTGAGAGCCAGAGAAACGAAAATAGTTAGAATTTTCAGAAAGAAAGAATATTTATGAGTAATGACCCAAGAAAAAGAATTTTCATGTTTTAGAAAAAAGTTTAAATTGACTTGAAAATACTAGTATTTTCTTAAAATCAGAGTAGGCATTACAGTCACGCAATTTAAAAATTTGAAATTAATTTTTTTAATAAAAAAGAAATTCCATGATCACGGGATATTTAAAATGATAATTTTGAAATGATTTTTTCTATCGGATTGTTTCTTAATCCGCAATTTTGGGGTTCTAAAAAAATTGAAATTACATATTAAGATGATAAAATTCATTTCCATTTGAAATGATTCTTGGATTTGTTTCTTAATCCACAACTTTGAGATTCTGAAAAAACCGAAAAATTTTATTTCCAAGAGATAAGCATATTGTATATTTTTTGTTTTTTGGAATGTATCACGTGTTTTACTAAAAACTGAAATTAGGATTTTGTTTCTAAAATTACATAAATCATGTGTATGTACTCAAATTCCTTAAATGGTATTTTTTTCAAAAAATAAAAAATACGAAAAGAAATTTGGCAATAAATAAAAAATAAGTATCGCACTTAAATTTTAAAATATTTTGGGTTCCAAGTAATAAGATTTGTCAAATTCGGTTATATTTTTTGGTTGGAAATCTATTAAATATATCTTTCACATGTTCCATTTTTTGGTCGAAAATCTCAAGCGTTTTTACGTAAAAAAATCTAATCTATTGAACTTAAACCTTGTTCCATTTTAACTCAAATATTATTGTAACATCCATAAGGCACCAACAAATTTATCTAAACTTTTAATAAAATGTAAACAATTTACCTAACAAAGAACTTTGATTTATATTTATAAAAAAAATAAAATTGATAAAACGTAAGTATACCTTAATGAATTAACAACATAGCTCACAACATATTCATCAAAAAATAATTAGAAACACAAGAACTTCAACATTAGGCTGCCAAAGTCAAAATATATATTAAAAAAATAATTTAAAGCTAAATAGTCCACAAAAGGCAATACTGATCGCAAAACGATGAGTCCTACAACTCATAATTAAGACAAAGAAATGACTGGTTCGAACACGACTTAGTAAAATTGTTCTTAAACCATTAATAAGAAGAAGAATCATTCGGCAATAAAAGTTTATATAACCTAACAACAAGCACTCCATTAGTCATATGATGCCATCACTTCAACCTTAACAATCACTCAATCCACATACCTTTAATGAAACTACATGTTTCGGATGTTGCATCATAATTTCTCTATCTCAAGCTCTTGTTGCAATGACTCGACCTGCTCGAGCAAATCCATATTTTCCTGAGACGTAAGGCGCTTAAGGAATTAATTAATACTCCAGTTGAACATATGCAGTATCCAACAAAAGCAAAGAGATATTTGGAAACATTTTTGAAATGAAGTTCGAGAAAAAGGGCAAAATCACCTTTTTAAAATCTGCGTGTTTCAATATCAAGAGCAAATCATATAACAAAAGAACAAAAATCAGATTTCTGGCCAAATTGAACCAGAGAAGAGCTGCATGACGGGATAGTTGTAGACCATGGATCACCGCTTGTACTTGGTATTTCACCATGCACACGATAAAAAACATTTCATGTGGAACATTAATTTTCACTCGCAACAGAAAATTTCATTGACTCACCACATGCATCTTACAGCCCATTTAGGGCCCTTTTTATATATAGGTTGGGGGTCCGGCCTAACCCCCACCCTCCTGAGATAGTTG